CAGGCCAACCTCCCCTTCAGGCTTTGAACAGAAAAGCTCACATTGCCTTTCACAACACCAAGGTTTGCTGAGCACAGTGTGGTTTTTGACCACACAACTGTTACAATCCAAGGAATGCAGATAGATGCAGAGTGGTGGGCTGCCAAATGTACAAGAACCTTCATGTGTGTTTGCTCCAGCTCTGGAGAGGTGAGTACTGGGTGCTGGAAATAAAATCTTACATCCTGTTCTGGCCTGAAGCACTGCAACTTGGCTTGTGCTGAAAGTACATCATGCTAAGCTCACCTGAACTTTGATGATAGGTTTCCCACTGATAAAACGTTGAATCACTTGCCGCTGCAGTGCCTCGAAGTCAAAATGGGTTGTCTTGGTGCCGTCTTCCTCTATCACATACTGGGAGTTGGCCAGCGTCGCAGTGATCAGATCATTCTCAGTTATCTTCAGCACTGAAGATGGTTTCACTTCTTCTGCAGAGATGATCCTGCAACAGAAGAAGTTACCTTTTGCTGTTAAGGATAGCCGCTTGCTTCTTACCTCATCCGACTTTGCAGTCAGTGACACATGCAGCTCTAGACAAGTCCTGATTTGCTCCAGAGGGATGCTTTGAAAAGTACCGTTGCTTTTCCTTTGTGATCTGTGTAGCTATGTCCACACAACTGTTCTGGAGCTGTATGAGGAGCCTTGTCACAAGGTAACCAATAGAAAGCGGAGTTGGGAGGAGTTTCAGGAGAGCAGTGTTGGCATTGATGTCCTTTGGCAATGGGTCCAGGGCGACTCTGACATCTGTAACAAAATGGAGGTTTTCTCTTCTGCCTCATGTGGTGATAGGAAGAATTCTCCCAAGGGGGAAACTCAGGCTAACTTTTGTTAAAATTTTTTTGGATTTTTTTATGTTAGGTTTTGTATTTTTTGAAGGGTTTTTAATTTGTTTTCAGCTAGAGGGTCAAAACAAAGCAAGCTCAGCAACTGGCACGGGTTCCAGCCTTCATCAATGGCTTAGGAAAAGGAAGTAACAATACCTGGGAAGCCAAAATACCTGAGCAGAGTGGTTGCATTCTGATATTGCTCCAGACTTTCTGGATGGTCCCTATAGCTCGGCAGAAAGCTGAATGCTGGTCCTCTTCAGGCACAGAGAGGGAAGAAGAACAGGAGTGTCAATGCATGCTCCCAAGAGAAAGCAATTGAAAAAGATTTATTTTTGTTTCCTTGAAAGATATAGCTTATGGTGTGCAACTGCTCAGTAAACTGTGTTAGGCTGGGCCTTGGTTCACTTTCACAGCTGTGGCTCCAAGCTTAACCAGAGCTAATTTTTTTCCAGCCCATATTATATCATATCTGGCATTAAGGGGTACCAAATCCCAGCTCACATGCACCATGCTAATACACCTGTTTACAGTCTTAAAAACCTGTCTCGTGTATGTTGCCCATTCATGGGTGAAACAGCAGGAAAAGTCTCTACAAGTTTCTCAAGTCCTGCTGGCTATACTGACTCTGAGGGTGGGAGGCAATCTGCCCAAGACCCATTCCAATGTTTCAGAGATCATTCCAATGTCTCAGAGATCTCTACCTTCTGCCTCAAACCCTAAAGATGACTATGAAGATGGAGATGACTGAGAGTCGCCACTGTGAGCTTATGTCAGGGCCCTGAGGGCACTAATAGGCCTTAATAGCCCTTAGCAGCATGACCTGGGGACGCCACCTCACCCCTTCCCCATGGGCCCACGAGACATGTGTAAGTGCAGGTCAGTGACTGAGTTGTAAGCAGCCCCGTTTTCTGCTCTTGTAACTTATTGACTGGAATTCCTAGACTCCTCCTGGACTTATTACCTTGCCTTGTGTTACGATCACTGAACTGTCGACAGAATCTGGCTCTATCACTGCCCTGGCCTTGTCCTGATACTGGTCGCTGCCTGGTCTGTGCTGTGGTCACCCTCAGCTTCTGGCTCATCTTCCCTCATGGAGCAGTCTTGTGTTTGCTGCTCCCTCACAGCTTGCAACAGAAATCACAGGTGCTGCTATAACATCAGAGCAGAGCATGTGGGTGTTGAGGAGTAGTAGAGGTGAGTTTACTGAGACCAGAATAGGTCCATGTCATACCTGAAAGTTCATGTTGGTCTAGGAACTGTTGTACTGAATATGTTTCCCCTTCATGGCTGTTCTGGAAGAAGTGGATCAGGACTTTCTGTAGACTGAAAACGTCAGGCAGGTGTTGGACATGCTGGATGTTTTGGAGCTGGAAGGGAAAATTCAGCCTGACTTTGCTATCCACGCACTTATCTGAGGCACCAGGATTGTGTCTGGCATTGTGTGGTACTCAGGAGAAGGGCACTGTACTGGGAAATGAGTCAACTTAGTGCCCCACTGACACCAACAATGGTGAATCCACATGATGCCTGTCTGCTTTGAAGGAGGAGGAATGTTTCTACAGCAAACCTTAGACATGAGCTCCAGAAGAACAGGGTAGCGGTTTCCTCCACCTTCTCTGTGTTCTTGCTGAAGTAGATGCATCAGGGTCTGGATGGACATCTTCTGTTCAAATCTCCACATGTAGGACAGGCCAGTCAGTCCAAGGTTTGGCTGGTCTTTGAAAGGAGTCATCTGGCCATAGGCTATTTGTAGGAGCAGGTTGGAGCCCTGAGGATCTCTCGTCCTCTGCTGCTTGACAGAAGTAAGGCTCTGCTCCAAGGTCTGTGGAATTTGAAAGGTTGTTAGGAACTGCCTATTGTTACAAAAGGGTTTGGGAGGACTTACAAGTCCTCCCAAGGACTTACAAGGGAAGACAATGGTGGCTCTGAAGAAAAGGAAGAGACAGTAAAATCTTCCTGTTGAAGAATGAAGCTGGGACAAGAAGAAAATTGCCCAAGAAGAAACCAACAGGGAATTTTCTTGCCCTCCAATGCATAGAGCCATTTTTTTCCTAAAGGGGATTTGAATCAGCATGTAAAAAGCATCTTAAAAAAGAGGTCAGGACATTCTTAAAAAAGAGGCAATAAACCTATTTATTGCATGTGGTAATATCCCAGCTCATTGGATGTGTCTGGGTATTCACCAGAGCCCATGTGGGCTCTGCACTTGATCCCTAGCAAAGCAGTAGTTTGTATATGGGATACATGGAAACACAGCAACCAGTCCCTTGCGTACCTGGAAGAACGGCTGAGTCAGGGTTTTAAAGCAGGTTTCCCACTGCCTTCGATCTTCTTGCCTGGGCAAAATGTTCAAGGCCATGTTTTGTCCTGCAGGAAATGCAAAGCAAAATAAGGACCCTCTCCCGGTAGACACTGGAGTCTCTGCAGAACAGCTGCAGTCATGGGATGACAGCCACCAAGTTCCAGAGACTGTGTGAAAACCAACCTAATGTAAGCCTGCTGGTACCCTCCCAATGTGTGGAATGTACCTTTACCTGTTGTACTGTTGCTCAAGTGCTGGAGAAACAGATGGACAGTCACTGTGGCATCCTCCGTGTTTCTGCTAAGTGCCCCTGCCAGGCATTCAATATCTTTTTCAAGGTGGTCCCAGAAGAACTTTTCCATATCATTTGGCTTCTCTGTCATCAGACTCAGAATTGCCTGGAAGACAGGTTGGTTTCTTAAATTAGATCTCAAGAAAGCTTCCTCCCAAAGTAGGGCAGAAGCTATTCATCATGTGGAAGCTGCAGGTTAAGTGAGGTGGACAGACAGACAGGAGGTAAGGGAGAGAAGAGAAGCAGGGGCTGTCACACCTGTTTATCTGTATAGATCCCCAGCAGCATGGATGAATGCAGCAGAGCTCTTGCAAGAGAGACAGAGGCAGGCGACAGGTCCCTCTCCAATTCACTTCTCCGTATTGAAGGGCTCCCAAGGATGTATCCTTTTCCTGTTTTATCCTCTGTGCTGTGATAAGGAAATGGAATTCAGTTTACACTCTCAATGACTGGGCTCTTCTCATAAGTTAACATTGACAGAGGCTTGGCCATCACTGGGTCAGAACAAGTGTGAACTTGGAGTGAAATGAGACTTCTGGAAGGGAAGAACTGCTGCTGAATAAATGCCCTTTCCAGCTGTTTCATACCACTCATGCTTTCTTTCCTCTCTGTTCCCCTCAGTAGGTATTTCCAAGATTTCCTCTTGCGGCTGGACCCTGGGTCACAAAGACCTTGCTTTGCCCAGCTACAGTGCTTCCCCTGTGCCCAGAGAATGGAAAGAGGGTCAAGTGGCCACAGCCCTGTTTATCTCTCTTGGGCTGGAGGGGAGGGAGCATCAACTTACATTTCCATCCTCACGAACCCTCTCTCAGGTTTGTGATTAATTCCTCCAACTTTGGCACCACATAGGCATTGTTTGACTTCCCAGGGACGCCCGCACTGTAGGTAAAGAAATGACAGCAGCCTAAGACATAGGGCAGAAAACCTAACAGCAGACAGAAGACCCTCAGCATCACAAAAAGCCAAAAGACACTTACGTTGGTGACGATCCAGTATGATCCACACTGACAAGCTGTGTATGAAAGGGAATTAGATTAATCAGTCAATTGTCTCCCAATTACAAAATCCTCTGTGATGTAAGCACAGCCAGAAATTCACTGGGAAAGCAACAGCCCGGGTCCTTCCGAAGTAAGACCTTCTTCCCATCTACTGGGACCTGGTCTTACAACATGATTCTCACAGAGTTTGCCATAAATGGACCTGGAGTTGCTGCGGCCAAAAGGAGATCTGTAAAATACTCAACAGAAGCACAGAGGTATCTTTAAAGAAAGCCACCCTTTCCTCCATCCACCTACTCCTCCTTTCCCTCCATCCCCTTGCCAGGCTGTCTCAGGACATGTTTCTAGTAAGTTCCCCGTGCCTGCCATCCATATAGGAGCATCTGGGCTGAACTGAATTAAAGCTTCCCCAGCACTTACTCCAGGGTGTATCATTTTGACCGATTTTCCAGTTCTTCTGATCAAATAGCAGGTCTTCAGGCATGGTGGGAAGGTAGGACCCCTTAGAAAGGAAATACAGGTGTAAAGAAGGATTTGAGGAATCATGTAACCATTTTCCTAGTTTGCTTCTCATCTACTGGAGAAATAACAGTTCTGGAGATAAACACATTAGGTGCAAATGGGTACATGAAAAAGCTTGACTAAGAACAAGGGACATGATAGCATCATATCAACTGCGGATACAGTGGGGATGGCTGGTCTTACAAGAACAGCGATGCCCAAGTTAACGTCTTCGTCACTTCTTTGGTATCTGCCTACCAAACTGAGGATTCAGAGGGAAGGAGCAATATCTGGACACTGCCATTGTCTTCACAGCCAAGAGATGGGCAATGCACATCTCAATTGCTTTCTGCACTCCTCAAATAACAGGAACAATTTATGCACCATTAGATGCAAAGGAGGGTGTAGTCTAGTAAAAAGTTTATCTTTACCTGACAGCTGGCATATCTGTGGTCAGAATGAAGAAGTTTGGGCTAGGATTTGAGTCATATAAGCTCAGTCAACAAGTAATATTTGGTAGGCCCCCAGGCTCCCTTAGACTCACTGGAGAGAGATGGGCATCTCCAGCAGGCTGCGTCCCACACTTTCAATACAGATCATGATGGACAGTCTCAGTTTGCTCTCAGTGGACCATCCGGAAGGGAGCAGAAAAACTAGAAAGCTCCATATGGTGTTTGCAACAACACAGAAAGCTGCAAACTGACTCAAACCAAATCTGGCTGTAAGCTGACAGAGCTGGTTGTGTAAAAGCAGATCCCATCCCTGACAGTGTTATCATAAAGGGAAGTATCTGTATCCCTACATCTTGACTTACCTTCACCACATGAGGCTCAAAGCAGATATTTCTGAAAAGTTGAGTGAGGGGACTTTGGGATAGGGCCAGAGTAAATGCAGTGTGAAACACCACCTCCATCAAGACCTTATTTTTGTGTCTGCACAGAGCATCCACAATCATCTTCATCTTGTTTTCCAGAGGGTCTTCTGGGAACAAAGGTGTTTGGAGGATGTTTTCCATTTGTTTTATGACAGGCTAGAAAAGAAATTGAACAAACCAGATGGAATCTTAGGAGACCCATAAGGTACCTCTTGATGAGGTGCCCACTGGTAGGCTTTAAAAGAGTGTTTTATATAAATGTGATGATCCTTTTCTCTCCAACTCAGGACAAAATTCCTATAGCTTTCTACAAACACCCCATAGAAATCTTCTGTAGGAGACACAATGAATACTCACCATCAGCCTCTGGACTTCCTGGGGATCTTTCCTTTTTATTTGATTTTCTGCTCTGTTCAGCACTGAAATCATCAGTGTTATATTTGACCAGGCACCCATATGCTGTGAAATACAGATGTAAGTTATGTTATCATAATGGAGATACCACCAGCATGTAGAAGGCTATTTCAAGCCCACTGAAGCATTCAGATGGACCCCTCACAAATGCTCATGTTATTTTTGTGTTGTGGGTATTACAAACTTTTTTTGCATATTTTAAGATTTGTATCATGGGGGCAAGCTTGGGGTACTGTAGAGATATGGGGTCTGAAATCTGTTGTGCTTGAATTTTACTGTGCAATTGTTTCATTTCTGCAGTCTTCCAAATAGATGAATAGGTGCCTCCAGGGGAACAGTCACGTGCTAAGCAGGTAATGGTGCAAGTCACATGATAAGCAGGTAACAAACATGCTAAGGAGGGATGAATCGTTCTCTAGAAGAGCTTATATCTCTCCCCAGACTAGAAGAAAGCCCCCAAGAAGAATTTTTTCATTACTTAAGTTGGCTGATTCCTATCCCTTCAGCTCTGATAAGGCACACAGGCTACAATACAAGATGTATTTCACCAAGCAGGGCTCAAGATAGCCAGCTGTACATGCTCAGAGCTGGCTGCAAAGAAAAGCCTGTGTGCATCTGTGTGCTTGGGTGGCACAACTTCAGTGACCTGTAGATGAGCTTTTGGAAGACACTCACCTGTGAAATTTCAACCCCTCTGGGTAAAATCCATTTTTCTGCTTGAAGGATCTTCTGCATTGGGATGAACCCATAGTTGTTACAGAGATTTCTAATGAGGAATATTTGAGGCCACGGTGTCTGTGCAGTTGCCACCAGCTTCTTCATTGCATTCACCAGGTCTTGCTCTTCTTGCTTGTTCCCACCAGGAGACAGTATGTTTGAATCTGCAGCTACCAGTGAGATTTCTCATTAGGCTCACTTCCATGCAGTCATATATCATAGATCTTTTTTGCAAGCACACCACCTGCTTAGATTGCAACAACACTTTTTCCCCAAGAGTAGAAATATGGCCTGCAACCATAGTATCCTGGGCTTCTTAATACCTACAGCATGCAGGGAAGTAGAATACTAGGCAGTGAATATGTGGACTGAATGGCCTACTGTTTTCCCATTTTTGGCCCTTATAGGATCTTGGTCGGGTAATCTTCTCTAGCATCTATCTTAGGTCAGAGAGGAGAGCACTCAAAGGCCGTCCAGAAGGTAAAGAGCAATCTCATGGCTCCGTTCTAAGTAGCTGAGAGAAGTGGGAATCCTCTGGCCTATTTTACATCTCGGCCTTATAAAGGGTCTCATATATCTCTGTTTATTATATGGGTTGAGGTAAGATTGTGGCAGTCTCTTTACTCAGACTTTACTTGGACACGCTTCAAAGCTGAAAAAGATGTAAGGAAGTGAGTCAACAGAGTTTAACGTGCAATACATCCTCTTCTAAACCAAGAGACTCACACATGTTCACTGTGTACTCCATTGACTCTGCTTATCATTCTCAACAGACTAATGGGAGAACAGAGTCCCAGCACGTGCACCTACCTGTAGACACCTAAATGATTACCGTGATACACTCCTGCACACTACCCCTTAAGTCAGGTGAACTATTTATTCAGGAGAAATGCCAATATTCAGATAAGGTTCTTTTAACTCTGAACAAAAATGAGATGTTTCAATACAGAGAAAATAACCCAGAAAATGAAAATAGTTTCAGAGCAAGTTCTAGGTAACATACATTTTGTGTGCAACATACACATCTTTGGATGCAGCCAGTTTATATACAAAATTTAGCAACTCTAACCCCATTCAGTTTCAACATTGCAAAAAAATAGTTTTATAGTATCAGAACAAGAGGGTTAAAAAATTATCTAGATTTAAAAGAAATGAATTAGCCGTCCTGATCCTGAAACACGTCTTGAAAATTCATCTGTTAAATCCCTTAAATTTAGACAAAACTTTGTCTTTTTTTCTCTTTTTTCCCTCCCCCCGAAGAAACCTCCTGTACTAGAAAATGTTTGGCTTGTTCTAAACCTGCTTATGAGAAAACACAAATCTCATGCTCTCTGCTGCTAGCAGAACGACTCACCGCAGAGCACCTGTCTACCAAGCACAGTGGCCACGTGGCTGATGGAGAACCTGAGACGCGCTATGAACTGGAGGGTGTCAATTTTTGAGGCCTTGCCTGAGCAGAAAGCAGAAAAGTCTGCAGTAGAGAGGCAGCTTTCGGCAAACTGGTTGACATCATCTTGGGAAGAAGGATACATAAAATCCTGTTCAAGAGAAAAAGAGAGAGAAGGAAAGTTAAGAGTCCAAAGCTGCCATAGGTTCTGGGTAGTCCCTTCTTCTTTCCTAAGCCTTTTCACCAGGTGCAGAGCTCATTTCTGCTGTGATGCTGTACTCTGTGAATCTCAAGGCCCCAGCAATGATCTGCATTGCAGGTGGGCTATTTTTCATCATCTTTGAGGGTAGCCCCAACTCTGCATCTCTGGCAGGAGAGGACTGCCTCCCTTGTTGATTCACTTGGTGGAGAATCACATGTTGAACAGATGTGCTTGTTCTGCTCAGAGTATCAGCTGTGCTCAAGGGAGGCTCTCGTGGCTTGCAAATCAGGCCATGGACACCCCTGGACTCCAGGAGCTCCAGGTCCACAATTCAGACCGTACATTGAACCTTATTAACTCAGGCCTGGGTTCTTCCAGACTATGCTTAGGCACATGACCAAGGGAGGTCAGCAGCCTGTTCCAGGTGGCCTCAGGAGCCAGTGGGGGGAAAGAGAGGAAGAGTGTGATCTGCAAAGGGCAGGACAGGAAATGATTGTTAGTTTGAGTATGGATTCCAGGAACATCTCAAGGATATTTGCACTTACCTCCAGACAATGCACCACCATGAAGTAGAAATGGTTCCAGTTCCTTTTGTTGAACGTTATCTTTTCCTCCATCTCAGAAAGGTATTTTTCCAGGTGAACCTTTATGTTGTTGAACCTATGACAAAAAAAGACATAGGATGTGAGCATCCATGTAGCCCATGTGGCTCAGTGATCAGGCTGGGAGCTACCTCATGCTAACCCATGTTGCAGAAGCAGTTTCAAGAGGGAGGACTTGATTGTTGAACTGGTGTCCATGCACTCTTCAAAGGGTGACAGCTCACTTTTTGGCTTGCAAACTAAAAATGAAGGATGACATTCATTATTTTTCTTCAGTACAAGATCAGGTGAGGGTCCCAGTGAAGTCAGGCTTTTACCTCTTTTTGCTGCCTGATGCTCAGGGCTGGATGGCTTGCAGGCCACAAACTGGATCAGTTGGGTGATGACTTCTGGGGATGGTGTGCCTCTGTCTCCCAAGACAGAGGTGGTGACAAACTCCACAAAGAATGAGTTACATTTCCTCCTGAATTTGTTGTGACATGCAACAGCTTCCCTGTAGGGAGGAATAAAATCAAGACCTACCATCAAAAATGCAACAAAGCAAAGAAACAGCTTCTCTTTTCTGCCTCTCTGAATGTGACCAGGTACACCTAGACTGTGGAGAATAAATACTCTTTTTAAATAGAGAGGGGAATGAACCCCCAGAAAACCCACTGCAGCATTTTTTCTTGAAAACTGAGGACAAACTTTCTTATTCTCCTGTACTCTCTCTCTCCCCTATCTCCACTCAAGATAGCTAGAGAACAAAGAAAAATGGATTCTCATGTAGTATGTATGCCTGGATAGACTGCCTGTTGAGACAGAAGCAAAAGGACTGGAAGTGACCGCAGGTCACTTCACGTGAATCCTTTCACCACCAGGGGTTTGCTACACATGGTAAATACTGACATTTCCATGGAGGTCCCATGTTAATGACATTTGTGTAGCCTCTGCTCTAGTAACTATTCCAGTATCTTATACAAAGTGATAGAGACTGAAACAACAAAACTAGTTGTTTTGGTAGTTACAGGATACCTTGTGGCCGCTGTAGCTGTGGGTGTGTAATCCTCTGGGAATTTGTCCTTGCAGATCTTACACTGCTTGCTTCTCCACTCACGGATGCACTGTGAGCAGAAAATGTGGCCACAGGGCAGCTGTGCTGGGTCAGTGATCTCCAGTAGACAGCTCTTGCAGTCCTTCACACCCTTCCTGAAAGTTGCCACCAAAGGAAGACACAACTCAGGGCTGATTTTACACTGGTGCCAGACTTGAGGGTGGACATGGTATTCTCATGCCCAATATTTGCCGTAGGCATCAAAACTGGATGGTCATTTCTGACTAGCCTTACTGGTGAGCAGAGAATAAGGGCAACATCTGCTAGTATAATAAGTGGATGGCTCCACCAATGACCATCCCATCTAGGAGATGCAGCCTGTCATGCTAAGCATGGCTGGGTGAATTGACAGTCTCACTAGGCCTGTGAGTACCTACATCAATTACACCACATTCAATTCCAGGGTTGTCCTGTCACCAACCAGGCACAACACTGCATGGGAAAGACTTTGCTCCCTGGCCTCCTGAGGTTGGGCATTACATGCCCTGGCATTAGGCGTCTCCAGGAGGAATCCTTTGGCCTGAGGAGATTCATGCCCATTGACTAGTAGCAATCTTACCCCGCCCCTTACAAAAATCAGTTTTGGTGTAAAATGTCCCCAGAAAAGCTTTTTTTTTTTTTTTGGCTTGGACTTACACAAGGTACACAGTGTCAGCACTTTGGTTACATTTCTTGAGCACTTTTGTCACCAACTCAAGAGTTTCTGCTGGCTCAAAATTTTGCGTTTCAGTCAGGCGCTATAGGAAAGAAAGGGTGGTGAAAGCTCAACGGAAATATCTTCTTGGCATATGAAAGAGGAACAATATGGGATGTCAGCACCACAAAATTATGTAATAAAACACTAAAACCAAACAGACCCACCAAGTATCTTTCTTCGTGTAATACCAGGGATAATTGGCCTGAAATATGTCTTAAGCTTTCAAGAAAACCTTCCTTTAAATAAAATTCTGATTTTGGGGTGCTTTCATGATGATTCTGAAATCTCAGTGTTTTTTGCACTGGATGGTGTTTCCACCCTTTTCCCACCCTCATCCCATTTCTATGCCCTCCCTCAAGCTGGGATCAGAGGAATCCCTGGAAGATAAGGCTTCTTCCAAACTCTGCTGGTCTCCAAGGCTATAAATCAACCAGGCAAGCACTACACTGAGCACGTACATTCCAGATGAAGATGAACTGCTTCACAAGAAGTCTCAGAAGCTTCTCATCTATCTGTGTCTCATTGTGCAGCAGGTGGTCGAAGAACATGTAGACAATGTTGGTGCAGGTCCACTTGTGTCTGGAAAACACACACACATGGATGTTGAACAAGGCTTCAAGACTTGCCAGAGAAAGCCATGTGTAACCTACTCTACTGTTGGCAATGGTGCAATTTTAAGTGGGAGACTGGCCTACAGACCTCTGAGGTCCCTTCCAACCAAGACGTCTATGACAGGTCCCAGGTATCGCGAGATGATTTGAGGACACAAGACCTCCTGGGCTAGCTTTGGAGGACTAGACTAAGCAAGAAGAGAAATGGCATGGTCCTGTCTACCTCGCTTGTTGGAGTGTCCCCACACCAAACTGAGTTATTAAATCGTTACTGGGTTTTGTCTATGGAGACACCTACTCTACTACAGCAAGCATCCTGGGCATGATCAAGCATGCAGTCAGATGTTCAGGAAAACAGGTCTTATTGTCAAGAAATGATGGGTGCGTAGTTCTTAATACAGCCTTTTGCAGTGATTTTTGCCAATGCTTTTGTGATAATCAGACAACAGAATGAGCAAAGGATTAGGACGGAGCCAACAGTTTCACGGATCAACGTTGTCAGGCTAATTGCTATGGCTTCCCAAGGAAAGGATGCATTAAGCTCACAGTGTAGACACCTAGCTCATAGAAGAGGAGAGATAAGGCCCCATGTATTTGCCTGAAGTCTTTCAATTTTGAAAAACTGGATTAGGAACTCCAGGGAAAAAGGGTAGGCTATGAGCAATCTTTCTCCACAGACTGTATTTTTAAGCTTCAAGCATTTTAGTTTTCACATCTTTTGGTGAGAGCTGGCAGAATCTTTTGGTGAACACATGCCAACAATTTGAAGGAAAAAATTTTGGCTTATCTGAAAGAGGACCTGTTACTTGAGAGACGAAGATAAGGCTGCTTAGAAATGTAGGACTTACAACACGCTCCTCAGGAGTTCCCTTTTCTTCTGGTAAAGATGAATCTGGTAGTTGTCCGTACTGATCCACTCCATCCAGGGCTTAATGGACTTGACCCTTCTAAGCCATTCTGTACAGGCCTCAAATGACAGAAGATTATTTGTGGGCTGCACCTTCTTCAGGAGAATGTTCAAGGTGTCAAGAGTGATAAACTGAAATTATATTTAAAAAGAGAGAAGAAAAAAATAGCTTTTATAGCTGATCTAGCCCCATTGCACCTTGGTGAAAAAAATGTTCTGGGAAATTCTCTGAAAACCCTAGCTTGGTGCACACAGCAACAAATACCATAGTAGGAATTTATTAGGTGGGGAAGTGAGAACAGTACAGAAACCATAATTGTACCACAGTGTAACTCTGTGTTGCACTTGTGTCTTGAATACTGTTTGAATACTTGAACCAGAGCACTGGTTTCCCTCCACAGGAAAACTTTCAGATCTAAGCTTCTAAGCTTATTGACTTCAGTCCCCTTGATGTTCAGGAGGGAGAAATAGGTATCTCCAAATAACAGTTCTTCCATTTCACAGAAATATGTTTAAGATTGTTGAAAGACTTGTTCTTTGGAAAGACTTAGATATTTAGGTGGGAACCAGTTGCCCTATTGTAGGTCTCTGCTGTCAGCTGAAATGCCTTTGGATGTCTGAGACATCTATACGGAGCTGGCAGATAGGGCACAGGACCTACAGGAGACTCATGTCCTACTGTAGAAGGAGCTGGAGGCCAAACAGCATCTGAAATGTCAGTAGATGCCTACTTGTGGGCAACTGAACTGCACCTCTCCCCTCAGTTGTGAGTCACTCTCCACTGTCTCAGAACAAAATTTAACTATGACCATCACCTATAAGGTCTGAGTGTCTAAGAAGGGATGAATGTCATATACCCAGAATAACACAAGCGACAGGATGTGTAATATTTTCTACACAGTGCAGATTAAATTATAGAAGTTTTGAAGACCAATAAATGGAATTAAAAAATAGTTAGAGGAGGATGAAAGACAGGTCCTTTGGTGGGGAATGAGCTTGATGTGACCACTAGCTGAGAAACTCCCTAAGACTTACTGGAAACTGGAAAATATTTTCAAGGAAAGATCCCCTGAAGTCTTGACTCTTTTCTTACACACTTGCACTGGGTATTTGCTAGTGGCCATTGTTAGAAACAGGCTGTGCCACTTTGCTCTGTGAAACACCAGCTGTTCCCTTTTGCTCACCATTTCTGGCGGGTCCTTTTCATACAGTTTTTGCAGCTCACTTGTTACAGTCTCATCACTTTTTACCAAGTCAACAAAGAGTTGATACTCCTCTCGTAGGTAGAAATATTCCATATGAAGCCAAATGGGGGAAAAGCTTATTTCCTCCTGCCCCACAGAAGAGCAGAGCTGTTTCGCATTGATTAGGAGAGCTTTTGACAGAATCTGCAAATAAAACAAAAGGTGTTACTTCTGCTCCAAACAGAGGGGACTGAGGATGGCATTCTGCATTGCTGAAGCAGTCTAGTCAAGCTTCTCCATCAAAAAAACTTTTCTGAGCACCAACAGTTGTTGGGAAGTGTGTAGAACATGAGAAGCTATTTTTTTTTTCCAGTTCTTGGAACCATAAATATCTGTAGCCCTGTGCCATTTAAAGCTTGTACTCCACCAAACCCCATTTACCTCATAGATAGAAAGATCTTGCCCAGGAAAAGTCATCCTTAGAAAGTCATTGGTGTAACATTGCATCATCCCTGGATTAGTGCCATCTAGCATCAACACATTTTTGATCAGCGCTTGGAACAATTTGGCTGGTTCCTTCATAGGCACTTTTGGATGACCTAGAGGAAAGGACAGAGATGTCAGGTAATCAGAAAATAGAAGTTGACAGGAAAACAGGAATGCATAACACACTTTCTAGGTCATTATGGTTGCATGGGGAACAGAACTGCTATGGTTGCTTCTACCACAACCTTGGCTATTGTGGGAAACTTTGGAGATAAGCTTCCCTGGGTTAAAGAACAATACCTGCTTGAAAAGTCTGATGTTACCTTTCATATTATAGACTCTCTCCCATAATTCCTCCATGTAGGCCTTCAAAACCCAACTGAATGGGAACTGGCAAAACACAGATGTGTTGGGGTCTTCAGTCATTGACAACACGGAAATCTTAGCATCTTGATTCCTTAAACAGCACGGAATGAAGCAATCATGTAATATGCTCTATGTGTACTGAACTGAAGCATCACAGAGAAATTTCTGACTGCCACTGGTATATGTTCTGCTTAAAAGGTTACAAAGCACAGAAAGATATTTTGTAAAAAACCTCAGCAACAGTGAAAACAAGGCAGCAGCAGAAAAAGTTCCTGCCAGTGGGAGCTGAAGGCTAAAAAAGACTGCAGCAGGGGAAAGGCAATTGAGTCAGACAACATCTGTCTTGTCTCTGACCACAGCTGCTGTTCAGAGTAAGCTGACTGACTGATCAATTAAAATGTGATAGCTGGACACTAAATGCATTTTGTGCTGGGGAGGGGACTGATCTTTTTTGACCTTAGGAACTCAAATTCAAGTTTCTAAATTCTGGACCTATTGTTTCTGACTTTACCCTGTGTTAATCACCATTCCAAGGAACTGGAGTTCCTTGCTAATATTCCTGAGTTGCTGAAGGTTTAAGAGAACAGGAAGGTTCTGATTCCAATGTCATGACACAAAGGACTTATCATGGATAAGTTATGAGGTGTGTGATCTTATCTTAACTTCAGACTTATTGTTTTACCATTTCCTTCTGCAGAAAGTTGCATTATGAAAGCAGGTTTTTAGTCTCCTAGTGTACATACTGTATTCTTCCACCAAGTTTCTTACTTGTTGGTATATTTAATTCTCAAGAATGATTCTTCTTTGAACATCTGAAGCCACAGTTCTGAGAGTGGAGACAGTGGAAAGAGATGATCCAGGTTGTTGTTTGCATCCACCACCGCAAGAATTTGAGCAAACACATTGGCCACAACGTCTTCTAAATACATCCAGAGCGCATGCCTAGAAGCGATAACACGGCCTATCAAGTGTCTTCCTTGTACCTGACCAATCCCCTATTCATCAGAAACTCGCATCTACTTCTGTACACCAGACAGAAATAGCCCTCCTGTTGTCATATCTGAGCCCCATTAAGTATTGTGCTTCACACACCACAGTTCTTTTAATGCTATCAGAAACAGACCTGTTTGTTTGTTAGAAATTTGGAAAGGGCTGCACAGATAAAAGTACCTGAATGAAGTGTCTTCAAGGATGAACTCACTGGAGATCGCTCTGCGGAAAACCCACTCCCTTGGCTCAAGGCTTTTTTTCTCACGTTCTTGTAGGAGATGGCAAATTCTCCTTTTCAGCACACTCATAAAATGACTAGAAACTAATTATAAAACAATGTTTATTAAAACATTTGAATAAAAGGAGTTTCCATGCAAAGTTTTCAGTCAAAGTAGAGCCAGTCATAGAAAGTGACCTCTATGAAAAAGTTCTTGGTTTTCCTCCACAATGAAATCCAGGGGCTTTATATTCTACCCTAGTCTCTTCCCTGTCCTCTTTATTTCTAGTGAGTTGATTTGGGGGGTAACATTTAGTAAAGACAAGCCATTTTTGATGGAGGAAAGAAAATTGACTTCTTTCTGTCTCAGTCTTTTAAAAATAATTGTGTGAATTATTAGGTTCTTTGGTGTATAAATACTCTGATATTCATATTGATATGGAGAAATGTTTAGTATTGTATGTCACAAGAATAGTCACAGTGCTGCAGAAGGGTTGACATCCTGTTCTTATCAGTATGATGCTGGTATCAATAGAAAATAAAATTGATGGGATTGTTTCCATTTCAGTACTTATATAACCACAAGCAAAATTCATCCTGCATTGTACTGAGGAATGAAGATGTCACTATCAATCACAAGAAGACATCTTTTCCTGAGGGGTATTTTTTCATAGTCAAAATTTTGTACAGAATAAGTTCTGGTTTTGCCATATGACCACAAGGACTTCACAGACCCACCACATCTTTGAAGTGGCAACATGGTCTTTTTTTTCTTTTTCAGTCATTAACAAACATCCTAGGCACCTGACAGGAACCTATTGCTCAAAGAAGAGCAAGTCATGTACCACAGAGACAAAGTCTTTCCACATGCAGGAAAGAATAATTTCCAAATGCACCTGCAAGGATTTTGGTGCTTGGTTTCTGATGAAACGAGACCTTTCCATTTTGCTGAAGTCACAGTTTTCTATCAAGACACGACATCACCCGCACAAATAATTTGTATCAATTCTATGTAGAAATCAGCTGGGTGGCTTTGGGCTCCAAAATAGTCATGGAGGTATAAAGTGACCTCTGCCTCAGATTTTTCTACCAAGGTCTCCATCAAAGGTCATGCAAAAAGCTGGATGTTTCAGTACAGACTCTGAGAACAGACAACATGGAGTGCATGGAGAGTAGAAGAGGCCCTGAGCACACCTAGTCCTCTCTCCTATGGCACCTCCCCCCATGCTGGCCTAGACGGGCACGAAGACAGATCATTAAACCACTCATTTAATTCCCGCTGTTTCATGGTTTGCAATGTGCAAGTTGCAGCGTAAATAAAAAAAAACCCAACCCACTCTGGGCCTTGGTTTGTACTCACTTGTGGTTCTATTATGATCCTGGAAAAGCAAGTTGTGAATGATCATGATTCTTTCAGTGGCACGCCGACTGTTGTCTGTCTTGTCTTCCAGCTGGATCACAGCTTTCTGGATGCTCTGTTTGATCATAGAGTCCATGCTGAGGAGCTGCAAATGGAAAAGATTGGAGGTCAGTATATTGCCTAACACTCCATTGCATTTGCTCTGTCAATTCCTACTTAACTTGACACAGTGGACTCCCAGGTTGTAAGTCTGCTTCACCATCCCATACCTAGTAAATCGATCCCAACATTGCAGAGAAGTGCTAAAAGCCCCGGCAAGGGATGGAGAAATGGGGAAAGAGATTTCATGCTTTGTCAAAGTTCACAAAAGGCTTAAATGTGCCTACTCTGACCTTGTCCTGGTCTGTCATAGGGTGGGGACCACTTCCCCCTCACTGTGTGACTCACAAAGACCTGCAACTACTTTTTCCTGTGGCAAATGTACTATCCGAACCAGGGACCAGCATAACTGGATCCCTAAACGCCTATGAAATCTATTGTTTCCTAAACCAGTTCCTGTGTAATGTCAGGCAGCTGGAATAAGAGAAAAGAAATAAATCATACATTTTCTTCTGGAAAAAGACTGGACTTGGCTGGATCTTCAAGAGCAGCAGATTCCTCTGGAAGACCTGAAATCACAATCACTCATAAGACTCCTTTGTAAAAAATGTAGAAACCTGAAAAATAGATACCTCTATCGAAAGGAAGCATCTGGAGTCTCTCAGCAATCAACAAAGGGTTGCAAAGCTGTCAATCTAAGAAATTTCAACCGGGGCTTTGTCCCCTCTGGGGACAATTGCCCAGTAACCAGATATCAGTTTTGGTTAGCACCCCATAGGAAATGCAGGTGTGTCAGGACAGGAAGTGGAGTCCCTTCCCAACTGCTCCTGCCTCCCTTTCTCCATACATCCTGAAAACAATGTATTGAGTCGGCTTTGAACTCTCCAGATCTGGAATATTTAGCATTTTTATTTGGGCAAAGTGGGCAGAAATACTTGCTGGGAATCAGAATAAATAAGTATGTGTCTATTGTATGCTGAATGCCACAGCAGTACAGCCAATTTGCTACTGTAACTGAAGAACTACCTTAGGTAGCCTGCTACCCTACAATCACACCTTGCAGACCAGGAGGAAAAAAATGCAGTGTTGTGAGTACTTCAGAAACAGAAGGTACAGTAAGTCTTGCCGAGACTCAGATCCAGTACCTCCAAGGACCACTTGATCTAGCTGTACTTAAAGCTGTAGATGGAGTAAATGGGACACAGAGGAAGGGACAGAGCTGCGCAGGTAGCAGGTGAAAAGCAAGTGGCTGATTACCTCTTAGGAGATGCCCCTGGAAAGTCGTCATGAAAATCTCAGCAATAGTCATTTTGGCGAGCTGGCCTAGATTGGCTGTAAAGTTGTCTGGGGGCATCAGATCATCCAAGTGGATTGACATCCATTCACCTGGGGAAGCAGTAAGCATGACAGAAATAGTAGTACTGGACATAACTGCTGTGAACAGTTGACCTGTTCTCCTTGATGCACCACACCCATCCAGAAAAATCAATAAATTTGGCTGCCCTGACCTCCCAGCAGCCTGGATAATAAGATATTGAGAAATGGAAGATTTACCACCTCCTGTTTATTCCTGCTCTGAGGGAGGATGCACTTCTCTTATATCATTCTGTTCCCTCCCTCCATCTTCCCAGTGCTAATGGGCACAAATGCCCTGTCATTCTCATCCATTAACCAGGGAAGAAAATGATCCTATAACCCAAAGGTGTCTGACCACCTTCAACATAAAGAAGTTTTTTCTTATGTTTGAATGGCATTTCTTGTATTTCAGTTTGTGCCTATTGCCTCTTGTCCTGTCATGGGACACCACTGAAGTGTCTGGCTCCATCTTCTTTACACCCTCCCATCATGTATGTATACACAGTGATAAGATCCCACGAGCCTGCTCTTCTCCAGGTTGAACTGTCTCAGCTCTCTCAGCCTCTCCTCATATGAAAGATGCTCCAGTCTCTTAATCATCTCTATGGCCCTTCACTGGGCTTGCTCCAGCATGTCCATGTGTCTTTTATACTGGGAAGCACAGAAATGGACACAGTAGTCCAGGTGTGGCCTCTCCACTGCTGAGTAGAGTGGAAGGATTACCTTCCTTGACCTGCTGGCAGTGCTCTGCCTAATGAAGGTTATGTTGGCCTTCTTTGCCACAAGGACACGTTGCTAGCTCATGTTAAACTTGATGTCCACCAGGACCACGAGGTCCTTCTCTGTGGAAATGCTTTCCAACTGGTCAGCACCCAGCCTGGGGTTATTCCTCAATGGATGCAGGACTTTGCACTTCCCTCTGTTGAACTTCATGAGGTTCCTGTCAGCCCATTTGTCCAGCCTGTCCAGGTCCCTTTGGATGGCAGCATTAGCCTCTGGTGTATCGGCCACTCCTCCCAGTTTTGTATTATCAGCAAACTTACTGAAGGTACACTCTGTCCCATCATCCAGGTCATTAATGAAGATGTTAAATGGCACTCACCCCAGTATTGATCCTTGAGATAAAACCGCTAGTGACTGGCCTCCAGCTGGACTTTGTGCTGTTGAGTAAAACCTCCTAAGTGCAGCAGTTCAGGGATTTGTCAGTCCAACTCACAGTCCATTTATCTAGTCCATACTTCATTAGTTTGTCAGTGAGGATGTTAAGGGAGACAGTGTCAAAAGCCTTGCTAAAGTCAAGATAAACACCATCCACCATTCTCTCCTCATCCACCAAGCCAGCCATCTGATCATAGAAGGCTATGAGGTTGGTCAGACTTGATTTCCCATTCATAAATCCATGTTGACTTACTGCTTTTCGTGTGTTTGGAAAAAGTTTCTAGGAATATTTGCTGCATCATCTTTCCAGGGATCAATGTGAGGCTATCTGGTCTCTAGTTCCCTGGATCCTTCTTCTTGCCCTTGCACAACCTTCCCTTTCCCTCCCACTGTCTCCCTGATCCAAAAGATCAATTTCAACCTTACCACTGTCAAATGCCAGGTAGCTGCAGCCTCCCAGAACTCGCGGCACTTGAGTGGCCAGCACAACATGTGATCGGCCTGTGCTTGTTGATTTCCTTCTCTCATCTATGATACAGTACCTAGAAACAGGACAGAGAGGCTAAAAAGTCCATTCTCTCTGTCAGCTGGGCAGGGAGTCTCCCAAAGCCACGCCTTGCCTTTCCAGGGCTCAGGCAGAGCTTTTGGAAAGACCAGCAGCTCGAGGTGAGGCTGTGCTTCAGTGGTGGAAAGGGAATAGAGAAGGTCAGCTCAGCCCAGCCCTGCTCTGGCAAGGCCAAGAGCCAAGATGGTGTTGGCTACTTCAAGACTCATGCCCATATATCTCCCCTACACCCTCTCCAAGCAATGACTTAGTCACATGCCTCAGCAAGCTCTTCCATGACAAATTTCCCTTGCTGCTGAAATATCTTTATTTTAATCTGAATTTGTTTTGCTGTACATATGGGTCTCTGCACAGTCATGTTCTTTCTGGCAATCATGGGAATAACATTAGCAATATCTGCCACAAACATACAGACAAATTAGACAACAAAAGCCACAACACAGACCAATCCAGGACTTGTGGGGAAACAGGCCAAAAGCCAGCATAGCTTTCCTAGAAGTAGGACCAGAAAAGTTCAAGTCCCTCTCTAGAAAAGCACAAATCCACCCAGAACAAAGCATTTCAGGAGACAACATGCATGTTCACTGAGATGGCGAAGAAAGGGTACGAACGGGAAATATAGGAGAGTGAGAAAGGGGGTAAGAAGGATCGTATTGAAAGAGGATGTGTCTGGTTGGGGGAGGATGTCACTAATGTACTTCAAGGGCTTAAGACCAACATCATATAATGTCAATGTCAATGACCTAAGCCCTCACTGGTGCAGAATGAAGAAGATGCTCTTCTAGACACACGAAAGCTGAGATGGTAGGCATGTTTTATCTTAATGTCTTAACAAACACATGCTTGGAAATTTAAGCTACAGAACATAAGCATGAACGCACACACACAGATATACACATAAAGATATGAGAACATCTGCAATGACTCCAGTGAACAGGTCACTAAAACCAACGGTATACCCCATGGCTATTTGGCCACTGCATCTTCCCTTACCTTTGCACCTGACTAAAGAAATACAGAAAGAAAGAAGAAAGAAGGAAGGATGTTTACTTGGCACAAGCTAGAAGCCTTTTGCTGCTCTGTGGCTCATCAAAGTGAAACTGGATGAGGAGCAATTTCTCTTCTGATGATTGTGCAAAAAAATTCCTGCAGATAATGAAATGGTCTGTTATTGCTCTATTCATAAAACCACCTTTGTTCTCCACTCTCCCTGCTCCCCTTTGCCCCCTTTTCCCAAAACCCCTATTTATAAAATTACCAAACAAATGTGAGAAGGAAATTTCTCCTCACCTGAGTTCCTGGCGGAAAGCGTATTCAGTGTCAAACTGGCTTAGGAAGAGGCAGTGGATTTCATTTTGAAGGTTAAGTGTCTTCCTTATTTCTTCTAAATCTCTCTCATTTAGAAGTCTTGCATGTGTAGAAACCTGCAGTGAAAGGGAAATAAATTCCGGGGAAATATTATGTAGTTGTTGTATTACCATCCCTAATGGGTGGGAAAATTGAACTGATCTGCTTATGGACCCTTTCAAGTGCTTCCTAAAGGCAAGACTCAGAAATGTGCCCTGCTTACAGGGAAGAAGGGTGGGAGCATTGTTAACAACCAGAAACCCCCTGATTCCTCATGCTAGAAGCTACATCCTTAGGAATGACTCAGATGCTGTGAGGCAGTGACTCCAAAAGAATCCTGCTGGGAGATGTACATGAGCATTTGGAACCTTGAGGGCTGAAAGAGCCTTTCCATGCAATGTTATGGGCCTAGCACGATGGTCCTCACATGTGACTCTATTGGGCTGACTCCCTCACAATGTTGTGGGCTCTCCGTACTGTAGATCCTGTCTGGGGATTCAGCTGCTACCTTTTTTGGTGTCTCTATGCAACACAAGCTCCTGAGCTTCTGTGATGGGCACTGGAGAACTGATCAGTATGCTTTCTTTGGCATGGACAGCTCCTGAAAATAGATGTCAGGGGACAGTGGGCATGATCCAGGACCTGCAGAATTGCCAGAACCACCTGAAGTCCTGCTGGAGGCTTGGTTGGATCCCCACAGCATCACCAGTGGTGCTTGTCACTTGTTTGCAGGCAATGAATGATGCCCTGAGTATCTTAGCCTTGAAAATCCATAGCCTTCAGAGTTAAGAGCTGGCACCCACTTCCTGTCTGTTAGCAGATCCACTACATCCAGGTCAAGAGGAGGAGCAGAGCCCACCCTGACTGCAGAGAACCACAAGGCAGAAGCCAGGCACGTGTGATACATCTGATGGGACAGGAGGTAAAGAGGACATGTGGAACTTATCCAGTGGCTTAATGGAGGTTGTGTGGCAACCTCCCTCATCTGGAAAATAAAGACCACTCTTACTGCTTTACAGTGAAGCACACATACCTGCAGGCAGAGCCCAGCAGTCCTCTCCTTCCTTGGTTGCTGGCTAACTGTCTCTCCCAAGACACTAACAAGGCTGTTGTGCTTCTGCTTGTGGAAGTACAAGTCTTGGATCTGCTCAGCATCATCCAGAAGGGAGTATTTAAGGCGCAGGATGGAGTCAGGGGTGGCACACTGAACAAGTTTCCTTTTGGCAATAGAGAGCACTGGCTCTTCATAGGGCTCAAGGTCTCCCCAGGACCTGCTCTGAGTGCTCGCCAAAGCAACAGCTGCAGATGTGTCATTGCTGAAACCAATGAAGACATCCTGTTCCTTGGGGCTGGGCTTGGTGGACCAAACATTGGAGAACATGCTGCTGTCAATGGAGACAAACTGCCTGGCCCAGGTCTGCAGGTCCTGCTTCAGCTGTTGCTGCTGCCAGTTCAGAACGGTGTTCATGTCCAAGCAGTGCTTCTCCAGCCGGTTCAGCAGCGGGGTGGGGAACTGGGTGTAGACTACATTCTTCTCCTCTATCACAATGAGTCTGAAATCATCCTTCACACGGCTCTTCACTTTGTGAGTGCCAAGACCCAGGTCCACATAGTAATTTCCTCCCAGGCTAACGAAGCACTGGTTAAGTGCATCATAAAGGCTCTCATAAAGGTTGTGTATATTTAAAAGAACAACAGGCCTGCCTGTCTCCATGCAGATCTTCACTCTGCTGACAGACCGGCATACCTGGGAATAATCTTGGTCCTGTGGAAAACCAGAGCCAAATATGATTTCACAGTTCTCAATATCTATAAGCTGTGTCATCTGGATGATGTGGAAAGCTGCGTGGTTGGTTGTCAGCAGCAGGAGGTATCGAGACATGAGTCCTGCCTGCTGTTTGCTCATATTTTCCTTCAGCAAACGAAGTGTGTGGCTGGTTTCCAAGTCAGGGGGAAGATGCACCTCACTGATGTAGTTGCGGAAGAGCTCGACAGGATTGATATCACTGGAGCCTCCAAAGTTTCTTTGAATCACCTTTATAATGATCTCCTCTTGAGAGATGTACTTCTTGTCCTGGCTGTAGGACAGTATCATTTTGATCAAACTGTAGAAATCACGGAGCCCAAAGAACTCAATTTTTTGTGTTTTTAGCACCTTGCAGTAGAATTCTGCCAGCAAAGGGAACAAATACATAATGCTTTCAAGGTGAGGCTGTGCAGCACAGATGCCGTTTGCAGTTTTAACTAGCTCTTCTTTGCTAGGGTCAGTCCGAAATACAAGAAGACCCCTGTTCATTTTGGCAGGGTCTAGGGCCCAGTTTGAAATGCCCACAAAGCCAACTTTTTTATAAGATTCTGGGTTTTCGTCATCAACACATCCATCTTCAAGAAGAGGGTGCAGTGTCTTCAGTGGCATCTCTGGTGAGTCTTCTGCGAGGCCGATCTCATCCAGAAGGACCACGGATGCAAACTCATCCAGATTCTTCCCCTTCTGGAACTGTGCACATTGTTGGAAAGTGGAGATGATCCCTTCTGGCTTTGAATGGGGACTGCACTGAAAAGACACCAACTGGATCTCTTTGCATCTTTTGAACAACTGGCTTTTGGACCGCCTGCCCTCCATGGCATCCACAGCAATGGTTTTAGACAGGGATTTTGAGCTTCCTGGCTTCCCAACCAGAAAAAGTGGAACTCGTAGGTCCATGCATACAACTATCATGAAGATGTTTTCCCTCAAAGCATCATTGCGGGCTGTTGCCTTGGGAACAGAGAGGTTATCAAGAAATACCTCTTGGCAAAGCTCAATCTCTTGCTGCAGAAGGGATGTAGGGACAGAAAAACATTTTGCAACCTCCTCCAGGTAATCTTTGCGGCTCTCCAGAGATACATAATAGCAAACTCCCACTGAAAGGACCAAGGCCCTTTGTGCATCATTTAAGACTGGCTCCTGTTCTTTTTTGCACTTCTTCGCATCAATCTGAGGAAATAGCAGGTCTCTTAATCTATAAAACCAGAGCACAATGCTCATGCAGCGCTCTATATCTCGAAGACTGGCAACTCTGCATTCATCTTTCTTCTGCCTGAGGAACTTTTGGGAGGCTGAAATGACACTAGTAAAGATGTCCAAATTTCCAATGGCAATCTTGTTCTTCATAGTGGACTTTACAATCTCTCTGATGTACAGGCTCTGTGTCTTTTCATTCAGCTCTCCAAAATCCCAGACAAGAGGCAGTAAACTAGGTGGAAGGGGCTTGACCCGATACACTAGCTGCCGCAAAGGAATGTAGCCCAGTTTCTCCAGTGTGTCTTCACTTCGGACTCGGTACCCCAAGCCAGCTTTTTCCAGTTTCTCTATGGTTTCCTTGGTATGCCTTTTGTAAGGGTTGCAAGCAGTTACTACTTTTAAACGGTCAGTGGGAATCTTCTCTCCATTTATACTGTGATCACACAGCACCTCTTTAATTGCAAAGATAGCTTCTGATGTGTTGGCTTCATCAAAAAAGAGTACAGTGTCCACTTTGTGCCTTTCTTCATTGATGTGTGCCAGCTCAATTGCCTGCCTAACTTTCTTGTGGATGTTCTTGGAAGTAGTGCCACCATGGACGCGTACCACCACCATGTTCTGAATGTCCCTGCCTGCTCTTTGCAGACTGCACATGAACTGCACAAGCTTTGTCTTCCCACAACCTGTTTCGCCCATGATGATTACAGGGATCCCACACTGGAACCGCAGGTGAATGGCAAGCATCTTCATGGTGTTGTCCAGTGTCAGCTGATATGATTCATCTGGATCTTGGGTGTAGCTCACACCAAAAACTCTGCAGAGCACCTCCAGCTGCATTTTTCTGGGCAAGTCTTCAAACTTCTTATTGAAAGGAACTTGCTGGGCTTTCAAAGTCTGGTATAATTTATCTTTGATAACATTCCTTTCCAAAACAACTTGAGAATGGGCATCAATAGCATCCAAGTTATTACTGATGTGAAAACCCAAGAACTCCATGGATTCATTGTCTGCATGGAAGACTATATAGGGGTGGGACTCTTGTTCCCACTTTCGTCTTAGCTGGTACTGTCTCATAATGCTGTTTTCCTCATCATCATTTTCTGCACTTGGCACACTTTCATCAGAGATGTCAAGAGAGGGCACAGCAAAGTCCTTGGACATGATGATCATGAACTTTACCACAAATGTTTTAAACCCCTGGAAATCCTTTCCAACTGCTGGGCTACAGAAAACCGATTTCTCACATTTGCTTAGCTGGAAGTTTAGGAAATGAGTGAAATTGCTAAGCTCGGTCCAGGAAGGGTTGCGTCTCCCACAGAACTCCAGTAAGAGCTTCAGGCACTCTTTCTCTGTCCCTTCAGTCCTCTCAGGGATGAAAACGAAACGGTCAAGGTTTTCCTGCCTCTTATATCTTCTGAGATACTGGTAAGACCTCTGGAAAGCTTCACTCTTTAACTTGTCTCGATCAAACTGTTCCTCTTTCATTTCAGAAAGACAACCAGAGCTGGAGTGTTCCAGCAATTCAAGTACCCGCGTAGGTGATACACATTTCACTGCAGGAAAAAGATCCAGGAACTTTTCTTCTGTTTCACTGGACATCTAAAAGGAAGTCAATAAGGAGTGCACAGATTACAATGAGGACAGTTGCCCAACCTTCTGCATTTGCCTACAGTTCAAGAGGTTTTTTTTTTCTGCACACAAATAGGTCAAGAAGCTGGGAAAAATCACATGTAGATCAAATTTGTCCAAGCCTGCCTACATGCTCCTAGATGGATATGTACTGACATGCCCATAACCTGTAAGGTCCTGGTACTGAGTGGATGTCCAATTAAAAGCTAGAATAGAGCAAGCATGATTATTTCCACCCACCAAACGATCTGCCAAACAGACAGGTTTCAGCACAGGTTACTCTCCATCTTCATTTGCTTTCTCTAATTAGAAAGCCACAATGGCTTTCCCTTCCAAATACTTGGCCAGACTCGCCTTGCACCTGTGTCAACCTGTCAAAGGAGGCACACACAGCCCCCTTTGGCAAGGACCCTCACAGGTTTATGACCTATACCGTGAAGAATCACCCCCTTTTCATTTGTTCTAAGCTGATCTTGTTAACATTGTGTGATGCTCCTGGTTCTTGTTTTGGAAGAGATGGTGCATGCTTGCTCCCCATTCACCCTCTCCAGGCCACTCAGGATGTTCTAATTCTCCGTCACATCCCTAATTTCCTCTTTTAGAGTGTCCTCCCTCATTTCTCATATGGGAGACTTTTATTACTTTTTTAATATGTGAGATGTCTATGTTATACCAGGAATGAACTGGAAAAAAACCCCAAACCCCGCACAACCCCAAACCCCGCACAGCACCTTACATTTCCTTTCCAGAGTGGACACATGCTGGGACTGCTTGTTGCTATGTAGATGAGACATCACTCCACTGGAGAGACAGACCCTAAATTACACATACCTTTAAAAGAGACTTTGGATTTTAGCAGATTTACTGCAGGTGCAGACCTAGTTATGTTACCATCCTCCCTTACTACTCCTCTGACCTGAGCACACCATCCCCAAAGCAATACCTCTTGTTTCCTTGTTCTGCTAACACCTTTCCCTTTTGCCAGGCACTCAATCAAGTAAAGATGAGAGGATTTGCACTTCCAGACCAAGCCATTGGGACTCTGGATGTGTCTTAGGATGCATAGCTCAATCAGCAGCCGGTAAAGACCTGTTGACACCTGACAGGGAAGAAACATTTGAAAATTAGTGAAGGAAATGTCTGTCAAAACACACTTACTCCACTACCCATGGCAGGTACTAGTACCTGAAGCCAAGCTACAGCCTCTCTCCCATTCTTGTGCAGGATTGCTATTCCAGTCCACACTGAAACAGCTGTAACTGTTAATATGATCTGATACTTGGTGCTCTACAGCCTTCTGAGGTAGGACTAGGTCATCTGGATTCACCTTCTGCCCTAAGCCCACTACCTTTTGTTTAAATAAAGCCCCTTCCAGAGAGGTACCAGATTGGATGTGAGATGGAGAATCCACCCCTTCTTCTCCTTGAGTATAGAATCATAGAATCATAAAATTGTTTAGGTTGGAAAATCGTTAGATCCCCCGTTAGCCAGGACTGCTGATAGATGATGGAAAGTGGCTTGGTGAGCACTTCCACCAGGCCCCTCAGTGCCCTTGGGTGGATCCCATCCAGCCCCAGAGATTTGTGTGTGTCTAAGTGGTGTAGCAGGTCACTAACCATTTCCCCTTGGATTATGGGGGCTTCATTCTGCTCTCTGTCCCTGTTTTCCAGCACAGGGGGCTGGGTACCCCAAGAACAACTGGTCTGACTATTAAAGACTGAGGCAAAGAAGGCATTGAGTACCTCAGCCTTTTCCTTATCCTTTGCCACTATGTTTACCCCCACATCCAATAAAGGATGGAGAGTCTCCTTAGCCCTCCTTTTGTGGCTAATGTATTTATAGAAACATTTTTTATTGTCTTTTACAGCAGTAGCCAGATTAAGCTCTAGTTGGACTTTGGCCCTTCTAATTTTCTCCCTGCATAACCTCACAACATCCTTGTAGTCCTCCTGAGTGGCCTGACCCTTCTTCCAAAGGTCATAAACCCTCATTTTTTTCCTGAGTTCCAGCCAAAGCTCTCTGTTCAGCCAGGCCGGTCTTCCCCGCCAGCTCGTCTTTCGGCACATGGGGATGGCCTGCTCCTGTGCCTTTAAGATTTCCTTCTTGAAGAATGTCCAGCCTTCCTGGACTCCTCTGCCCTTCAGGACTGCTTCCCAAGGGACTCTATCAAACCTCCTCCTTACTTCTCCAAGAATCAAAACCTCTATCATTTTGTGATCACTGTGCCCAAGACAGCCTCCAGCTATCACATCATCCACAAATCCTTCTCTGTTTGCAAACAACAGGTCCAGCGGTGTGCCTTCCCTACTATGGGGGCTTCTATGTCTGATCACTTGGTCTGAATTCAGCCATCCTCCAGTGCCCTACACTCTGATTGATACCACTGTATGAGGAAAGATTGCTTTTATGAAATGGGACCCATTTTACACAGCTTCCCCACCTGTGGGCATGGAACAAGGCAAATGCAGCCACCTGAGCTTCCAAACTGTACCCAGAACTTGTTCACTTTAACTTTGAAGCACCTGCTGCTACTACTGTAGATGAGAATAAGCCAGAACAAGAGGCTGTGCAAATACCCTCCTCTAAAAAAACCTGTGAGGTCTTGGACACTCCATATTCCACCACCAAAGACTCTCACCACTGGTGACACATCAATATGGAAGACGGTGGGCTGAGTTTCAGTCGGGTATTCCTCAAGAGAGAGTAGGTCCTCCAGAAGGAACTGGAAATCAATCTCTGACTCCATCAGCCTAATGGTTTTGTGAACCACTGGTAAATCACCCAGCTGGGCACGGATCTTTCGGACGGTATTTTCCACGTAGAGAGACTTCCCTAAGGAACAGAAGAGATGGCCAGGATTCATCGTCAGAATCAGTCTGCCCTTTCACAGGCATGGGACAGTCTTCCTCCAGACATCTGAACTCCCTCCAAACTGAGTGGCCATGTCTCAACAGCCTCTTCAGAACAATACCTGGGACCAGATGGCAGTCACATGAGGGACAACCTCCAAGTCTGTGCTCACAATTTTAGCAGTATGGCTCATTGCAAGATGGAACTCATGCCCCAACTCCAGCCCCATTGAGGTTACCAATACAAACATAGACAGAAGGCCTGGATCCTGATCAACTTACCTCAGATGTGCCCTACAAAATGTCAGAAAAGCTTACTGTCCAAAGAGACATGTCTTTAAAGGTTTCAGAAATGGTATGAAGCACAAGACATCCTGCTGAGGCTTGCAAAGGGCCTACGGAACACTTGTTCCATTCTGGAATGGCAGGTGGAGGCCAGTTGGGCTAGTGTATGGTCTTTCAGAAGACACCTGGCCTTATTTAGGCAGCTGACTCCCATCCCTATGATCTAGTTTATCCTATAGAGAGAGTCTTGTTTCTTGTTCTTTCCCAGAGTCTCACACCATTATTTGTTTCTCTTCAGACTGGACAACTGTAACTCCCTCAAAGCTCATGTTTTCTAGACTGCATTGTCATTCCCCTTTGGACTCTTTCCAGGTGGCCTAAAATCCCTCTTGTAATTCACTAACCAAAACTAAACACATGTGAGGAGCGTGGAGGGCTCTCCATTGCACACCATGTTCCTCTCAAGGCCTCCTGGTTTGAGACGTGACTCACAGTAGGACTACTAACACCTACCCATT